CAAGAAGTTGCAAAATTGAAATGGAGATTTGCCGGACACAATATAAGACAAAAAGAAGACCGATGGAACAAAATTCTTATAAGTTGGAGACCGTGTGAATATAAACGAAGCAGAGGAAGGCCCCAAATGAGATGGGCAGATTATATCAAGAAGCACGTGGGCTCTATATGGATGACTGCAGCGACAGACAGAGAAGAATGGAAAAGGATTGGGGAGGCCTATGTCCAAAGATGGACCGAAGAAGGCTAATTAGATAGATAGATAGATAGTCTATTTTAGAAATTTCTAAAAAAGTGTTTTTTTTTCAACATAACTTAAAAACTATAAAATAGGTGCGTAAAAAATTAAAAAGAATACAAAAATGTAGTTCTTTTTACAATAAATATTCTCTATTAAGTGCTTTGTACTGTCATTAGCATAGGAAGTAGTTTCTAAGGGTTAAACAAGTTGCAACTAAAGCAATAATGTTTTATAAGGAACAAATTTTTATTTATACATAATTTACAATACATAAATACATAATTTTAGAATTTTGATGTGTACAAAAGTATATTTAACGTTGTAGTCGCCTTAATGGGTAATTTTTAGGGATTGGAGAGTTTAAACTAAAGAAACATCGTTTTATAAGCAAGGAATGCATTTTTAGTTATTTAAATGGAAAATTAAAGCATTTTATACTATAAATAGGCTATTTAAGTATTTTTTGCATAAAGGGATGCTTTCAAGGGTTTAAAAACTTGAAATCAATGAAACATCAATTCACAAGGGATGATTGAATTGTTATTTATTTTAATTCATATGTTAAGCATTTTACGTTTGTAAAAAATGTATTTTTAACGATATTTACGTTATAAACGGTGGTTTCTAAGGGTTGAAAATTTGTATTAAAGTACAAATTATCATTGATTATGTTTATTTTACTTTATTCAATCAGATTTTAATGTATAAAACACTTAAATACGTGTTTTTTCTGGAGTTACTGGAGTACTAGTCCAATGGGTGTCATCGGGGGCCTAAAGGTCGATTCAGACACATCAGTCACGTCTCGTCAACATCTCGTCACAGTGATTGCGCCGAATCGAACAATCCGTCATACAAAATATTCTTTAATACAAATATGGCGCCGGCATTCACACTCATCAGTTGACGAACAGTTTGCCAGCTATCAGATAGTTGATAGTTCTGTGACTAAACAGGACCGGTTCGGTACCGTGACTGTGACGTGACTGATGTGTCTGAATTGACCTTTAGTCGTGGACTAATGCGCACTCCGATGCGCATCGCCCGCCTTCTACGATTTTTTATATTTGCCGACTGATCTGAAAATGCCATATAGAAACATATAAATATGGGACATTTTCATTTCAATTCATATGGGAGTCCGTTGTGGGGGCTCTGCTTCTGTTCTTTAAACCGAGACTCTGTTCCTGGACATTTCCACCTTTCAAAATGTGTTTTTATTTCATTCATCATGTGAAAAATACCATTATTCCACCAAAGATGGAACATACATAGAGGGGACTTCGAATCGACTGGTCGAAGTCCCTCTTAAGGCACCGTTGGAATGGATAAGTGGCCGTAGTTTTCCAGGCACTTCCCATGTGGGGATATATGAAAATATTAGATTTCTTCCTCTGTTGCCGGAAATTGGAACACAGTGTCATGGAAAACAGTGAAGCAAGCGTAACTGATATTATTTTGTGCCACAAGGAACGAAACAGTTCCTATTGAGGAAACTTGGTAGTAGATAGGATATTAATAAATTTATAAAAAAAGTAACTGATTCTTACCAACAATTTCGTACATTAAATTGTGGGAAGATAGTTTCGGAGGAGGCGAGATTTTAGAATGAATTACACTCCATCGTGTATTGAAATGGGACGAGATCGAACGATCTGATCACAATACACGTTCGGACGATCTACAAAATATGAATACTGATAACCTTTTTGACGATTTGTCGCTTACTAAACCATTTATTGCATCAAAGAGTGAAGAATGGAATTCGACGACTATGCAGATTGAGTGTATTGACAAATTGGTTCAACTATTTAAACATTTTCACGAACCACACATCAGTGCACTCAACCTGGTGCAAGATATTTTGTGCCTACCAGGCACAAATACCACCACTCTTTTAGAGAGTGTCTTCTTATTATTATTCGGACGATAGATGCCGCATGTTGAAGTCTACCGTGCGAGCATTACTGTACTGTAAATTAAACTTTGTGATATGCGAAACGATTTTTATGAAGAAAATAAAAACACAATTTATCAAAAAAAGTACATACAGGTGAGAAGTACAAATGATACAAAAAATAGATATTTAATTAATAAAACGTTTTGGTAGCAGCTTAATCGTTTTTTTTCTACTTTACCCGATTGACCATTCACTGTCCCGTTTAAGAGTTTCATAATTATGGTAAGCCTAACTATATCTGAACATGACACATGATATGCATGAAACATAATTAATTCGCGATTTAAACTTCATTTCTTTTTAAAATCAGCATATGAGGAATTCTACAAAAATTCGCACCTTAACTGTAATTTACTGCCGTACCCCGCAGTAACAATTTTTTTCTGTAGGTTGATACCAAAAAAACATATTTTTAGGTGCGAGCCTCAAAAAAAGGCAAATTTAAGTTTTTTCCAACAAAAAACTGATATGTTCGCTAAAGCTATTTCATTCTTCTAGCGATCTGCCTCGAAAGACGAGTGAAAGAGACTTCTATACTTGGAGCACACGTACATATTAGGTACCAATCGCTTCGTCTTGATCCTCAGAATGAATTCTGATCGACGTTTGTTTCTTCATTTTTTTGCGATTTTACCCGAAAATAGACTAAAAGATACCTCTATAGTTGGAGCACACATACATATTAGGTACCAATCGCTTCGTCTTGTTCCCCAGAATGAACTCTGACGCTTTGAAGAACAAAAAAAAAGCTCAAAGCGTGGCAAACGGTTATTCAGTCCTTAAAATCGACGTTTTTTTTTCAATTTTTCGCGATTTTATCCGAAAATAAATTAAAAGAGACCTGTATAGTTGGAGCACACATACATATTAGGTACCAATCACTTTGTCTGGATCCTCAGAATGAATTCTGACCCTTTGAAGAGCCAAGAAACACCTGCTCAAAGCGTGGCAAGCGGTTATTCAGTCACTAAAATCGACGTTTTTTTTTCATTTTTTCGCGATTTTACCGGAAAATAGATTAAAAGATACCTCTATAGTTGGAGCACACGCACATATTAGGTACCAATCGCTTCGTCTTGGTCCCCAGAAGGAACTATGACCCTTTGAAGAACCAAGAAACGCCTGCTCAAAGCGTGGCAAGCGGTTATTCAGTCCCTAAAATCGACATTTTTTTTTCATTTTTTTGCGATTTTACCGGAAAATCAAGTTAAAATGACTTTCATTCAACAACTGAGTTTTCCAAAGGCGATTGGATCGTAGTAATTTATGATCAATGGTACGCAGGGGTAGTTGAAGAGGTAAACAACGAACATCTTGTAACAAAATTTCTCTCAACTACAAAAAATGGCTTTTGTTTTTTGAATCGACCAGAGCATACACAAAACGTTTTATCAACTCAAGTTTTATGTAAAATAGAATCGCCAGAACTAACTAAATTTAGAAATAAAATAATGTACAAAATCAGTGAAAATCGGAAACAAATGATTGAAATCTAATGTAAAAAATAATATAATTATATGATATATTTGGTATAATTTATATAATTAATATAATTTCTTTTTGCATCAAAAACAGTAATAAAATTTTGTTTATTTCATATTAATCGAACTTTCAAATCGCGAAAAAATGAAAAAAACTTCGATTTTAGGGACTGAATAACCGTTTGCCAGGCTTTGGGCTCTTTTTTGGTTCTTCAAAGGGTCAGAGTTTATTCTGGGGACCAAGACGAAGCGAAGCGTAAAATCGCGAAAAAATGAGAAGAAACGTCGATTTTTGTGACTGAATAACCGCTTGCCACGCTTTGAGAAGGTGTTTCTTGGCTCTTCAAAGGATCAGAGTTCCTTCTGGAGACCAAGACGAAGCGATTGGTACCTGATATGTATGTGTGCTTCAAGTATAGAAGTCTCTTTCATTCGTTTTTCGAGGCAGATCGCTAGAAAAATGAAATAGCTTTAGCGAACAAATCATTTTTTTGTTGTAAAAAAACTTAAATATGCCTTTTTTTTTAGGCTCGCACTTGAAAACATGTTTTTTGGTATCAACCTACAGGAAAAATTGTTACTGTGGGGTACGGGTAGCAAATTGCAATATCACCACATTTGGCTCCAGTTAAGCTGCGATTTTTTGTAGAATTCCTCATATGCCATTGCCTATGACTAATTTAATCGGAGTCTTTAAACATACTACCAGAAACATGAACGACTTCTAAATTATTTTACAAAACATTTCTTGACTAACGACGGGTGATATAAAATTGAAGGTTTTTACTATATAAAATTTAAACATTAAAGCAGGACAAATTTTTTAAAAGGGGAACGTTATGTAGTAATTATGTAGAAAGCCCACGTTCAAAATACTATGGCCTGCATAATAGCCTCCTAAACGCCAAAAATCCTCATGAATATTCCAAAACCAACAAGTTAGGGCTTAATGTCTGTAGTCTTAGATTCAAAAGGAGATTTAGGATACGTTTTCGTTAGGAAAAAATAAACGCATCGTGTTCTGATAAACTTGTTCTGCTAAATCACTTTTGTTCATCTCAGTAACAAATGCCGCCATATCCAGTATTTGTCTTATATTGCACGGTTCGTTTCTTTCAGTTACCATAAATCCGGGCCTCCAATTTTCTTTCCGTGTTGTCAACAGCTCATCTAAATGCTGTCTAGAAATATGGGAATATGGAGGGAAACAACGATGGATTAATCTTCTTGGACAATTTGTTTGAAATATAATTTTGTCTAAAGGTATTATTTTAATGGCTTCAATCGTCTCTTCCGACAAAAAAGACCATGCATCTAACCCGATATAAAATCCTGCATCTACTAATCTCTTAATTACGTCAACGGTAGGCTCAAAGCAGTATATAACTCCTTTTAAATTTGGGTAGGTACGTAATGTCCTTAGTAGAAATTGATGTGCATAATTTCCATCTGAGGAAATTATTAAAGGCAAATTGAATGATTTACTTAATTCTACATGAATTTTAAACCATTTTAATTGAAGGTTAAATGGATTATAGTTACAATAAGAACCCTTAGTAAAACCGCACTCTCCAATAGCAACAACTTTTTCTTTTCCTAAAGCAATTAAATCTTTTATTTGTTGTACATGTAAATCGGGTTCTTCATTTTCTTCAAATTGTAAGCAATTGTCAGGAGAACAACCGATTGTGCAAAATAATCTCTTATCACTTTTTGCTATTTTTAGACTATTTCTGCTCTCATTTAAATCTTTGGGACAAATGATTATCTTTTGCAAACCAGCTTCCCAACTTCTTTCTAACACCTGTGGTAAATCTGGTTTGTGGATTCTGGTTAAATGAGCTCCATAACAGCCTGAATACTCGATATGAGTAAGATTTGCGCTCACGTCAATGAATTTGAATGTGGTCATTGCTTTTGAATACTACCTAAAAATAATATAAAAATGAGAAGGTACTCGTCTGATATATACAGTGGCTCACAGCTAAAATGATGTAGTCGCTACTCAATAACATACTGAAATTAAATTACTACAAGTCTTCTAAAATAGCATATTTTTTGGATTTCAAATATACCATACTTATTTATTTTATTTATTTTTACTCACAACAGGCCGTTAAGGCCTAGGGCATTTTTTTAAAACAATCCTAATATTAACTAATTACAATTATTTTAGACAAAACTTTAACTTAAACATGTATATACAACATGCTTAACTACTTTGAAGGACCTAGTGGACAATATTTCTCCATTCGCTTCTATTTTGTGCTTTTCTTTTCCAGTCCCTCACCTTTACGTGTTTAAGGTCTCCACTTTACTAATACACCTCGTTCTGGGTCTATCTCTTCTTTTGGGGCCGATTAGTTTTCTGGTTATTTCTAGTTTAGGCATTCTGTTTCCTGCCATTCTTTCCACATGTCCCAACCATCTGATTCTTTGTGACTTGACGAACTTGGTAATGGTAGGTTCTTTGTATAAATTCATTAATTCATTGTTGGTTCTTCTCTCCCAACTATCTTCTGTCTTCCGTCCTCCGAATATGCGTCTCAATATTTTCCTTTCCCATCTTTCCAGAGTATCCTCTTCCTTCTTATTTAATGTGCATGTCTCACCACCATAGGTTACTGTGAGTCGAATTACTGTTTTATATATTCTGAGTTTACCTTGTCTAGAAACGTATTTTGAGTTCAGTAGGGCCCTTAAACTACCTAATTTTTTATTCCCTTTTGCTATTCTGGCTTTGAGCTCCCACTTCTTTTTTCCATTTTCATCGAAAACTACACCCAGATATTCAAATTTGTCCACCCTTTTAAAACTATAGCTTTTACCACTTACAGACTTCACACTAAAGTCTTCTTTTTTCCCTTCCGTCCCTCCCATCATATATTTGGTTTTGTCTTCATTTAGTTTAAATCCGAATTTCTGTGCTTCTTCAATGATTTTCTTCATAACTATTCCTAATTCTTTCTCGGTTTTTGCTAGGATCGTTAGATAGTCAGCAAATGCCAAGTACTGGTGCTCATTTTTCATGATCGTTTCCTCCACCTTCATGCTGCATTTTCTGATTACAGTTTCTAACAATAAGTTGAATAATGTAGTGGATAAAGGATTTCCCTGTCCAAAGCCTATTGCAACCGTAAATTGATCTGATATGTGACCCAGAGCTTTCAATATTCCTCGAATTATTCTATATTCTTGTTTTTTACACTCTCTATTATCTGTTAATATTTCTTGCCTGATCTTCTTCTTTTTCTTTGCTACCGCCTGACACTCTTCAAACAAATCTTTGTTTGTACTACTCTTGGAGTCGCACTTAACTATTTTCTCGCTAGCTTCTACGGCAGATTTAATTTGTTCCCAGGCTTGATCTGTCTGTAAATTTTGGTCACATTGTTGTAGAATTTTATTTATTTCTTCTTCATATTTATTTTTTATTTCTACTTCCTTAAGTTTTTCAATATTGTACTTTCTCTTCGTTTTATTGTTCGATTTCTCTTTTTCTTCCAGCCTCCTCCCACATGTGACTTTAACGAGGTAATGGTCCGAGTCGATTTCAGCTCCTCTCATACTTCTTACCTTCTGAACGATATTCATATATTTACTTTCAATCATAACATGATCTATTTGATTCACCGTCCTTCCATCTGGGGAGACCCACGTACCTTTGTATATCTCTTTTCGTTTTAGTTGTGTGCTTCTCACAACCATGTTTGTCTCCATGGCAAATCCGATAAGTCTTTGACCTTTATCGTTTGTTACTTCATGTTTACTGTAGTTACGTTACTATAGTGTACAAAGGTTCTTTTCCCACTTTAGCATTACAATCACCCATTATTATTTTTACATCGCGTTTAGGTAGGCGCTCGTATTCATCATTAACTGTTCATCGTAAAGATCTTTTATTTCGTGGTCCTTGTCTTCTGACGGTGCATGAATATTGATTATATATATATATATATATATATATATATATATATATATATATATATATATATATATATATATATATAGCGAGTGTTTGCAACTTTAATTTTGTCGCTTCTCGCATCCCAATCGCCATAATTTCTTATCGGCCCAGTCTCCTTCTTGAAGACCTCTATTTTCCATTTCTATATGAATATTGGATATCCATTTCTTTCTTGGCCTTCCCCTTTTATTTCTCTGTGTAGGTCTCCAGTTCCAAACCTTTCGTGGTATCCTTTCTTCGTTCATCCGTCTCAGGTGTCCATACCTTTTTAATTGTTTTTCGGATATCGTATCCATTATTGTGTTCTTTACTTTCATTCTCTCTCTTATGTTTTCATTTCTTATGTGGTCAAACAAAGTTAACCCGGAACATCTTCTCCAGTACATCATTTCCGTTGAGAGGAGTTTTTGTGACATATTAACTGTTAAAGACCCACACTTCTGACCCATACGTCAGCACCGGCTGAATCATAGCCTGATATATATTTTTCTTTGTTTTCTTAGTTAAAGTTTTATTCCACAGGATCGGATTAAGTGTTTTTATCATGTTTTTTCCTTTTCCTATTTTTCTTGTTATATCTTTGTCGTCTTTCCCGTCTTCGCTTAGTGTAACTCCGAGATATTCGTACTGATCAACGTTTTTAATTAATCCGCTTTCTGTTTCCATGTCTTGACCGATGCCTCCTATATTCATGTATTGTGTCTTTTCGGTATTAATAATCAAAAGACTGATATTTTTTGTACACACTTATGACAAGTCGAAAGAAAATGCAAAAAAGTATTTTTGAAGTGTGTATATTTTAGGCAATTCCTAGCTGAGCGCTTTCGGCTTTACAAAGCCATCATCAGAGCTATGGTCAATTTTTAAATACCACTACAAAGGAGAGATCTCATTTCCTTAAGTTTCAAAATTATGATTTTGTAGTAGTTGGAATTTTTAAACATATAAAAAACATATAAAAGGTCGACACTGGACGTCACAAACACGTTAAAAAATTGAAAAATTTTTTGTCATGGTACGGGTTTAAGACCCGACCATCTATTGATGTGAGGACGTAGACTGAATAGCTATTCAGTCTACGTCCTCACATCAATAGATGGTCGGGTCTTAAACCCGTACCATGACATAAAATTTTTCAATTTTTTAACGTGTTTGTGACGTCCAGTGTCGACCTTTTATATGTTTTTTATATGTTTAAAAATTCCAACTACTACAAAATCATAATTTTGAAACTTAAGGAAATGAGATCTCTCCTTTGTAGTGGTATTTAAAAAATTGACCATAGCTCTGATGATGGCTTTGTAAAGCCGAAAGCGCTCAGCTAGGAATTGCCTAAAATATACACACTTCAAAAATACTTTTTTGCATTTTCTTTCGACTTTTCGGTATTAACCTCTAATCCCCATAATCCCCAATGGGGAATATTGATTATACTCCCAATATTTCTTACTTTTATTTCGTATTGAACACATCCTATCAGAGAAGGGATTAAAAGCTATCACTTTGTCCTTGATACATTCAGCCACTAAAAAACCAGTTCCAAGCATTCTATCTTTACCTCCACTTTTGAAGAGCATCATATCTTCTATATCAGTTATTTCTGATCCTAATCGTTTTGTCTCTTGAAGAGCCTATAAATCCATTTTATACTTTCTTGCCTCATGCATTAGTTCTTTTAGCGCACCTTCATAAAAGGTTCCCCTGACATTTCATGTAGTTAAATGTATCTTGTCATTCTTCGGCTTTACCTTTGTATTATTGTCTTGTTTTGTTTCGTTTTCATAGTTCGTAATCCTTTTCTTCGCATTGTTCGTCATATATACCATACTTAAATAATAATAAATATTAATTATTTTATGTATGATTTGGATGTCATAGCTAAAATGATACAGATAAGATGAAGCATTACACGAATATGAATCCAATTTGAAATTTGCGAAGTAATCGTTACATTAAATTCATATAAGTTATTTTCATGTTTAATTTGACATTTCAAAGTATTTAATTAGAAAATTACAAAATTATTTAAGAATGTGAATCAAACTACGATTAGTGAAAGAAATTGAATTATTACTCACCATAGAAATGTATATAGCCAAAGAGACATATCCAAAATGGTAAATAAATGTTCATCAACCGTTCAGCACATCATTAAACGTAACCGAAATAAAAATAAGAGTTGAAAATAAATAAAAGTTAGCTCCAAATAAGATTTTTACCGAACGTGAAGAAAGATGGATTGTCAGAGAAATAACAAATAATCCTACAAAAACGTCACCAAAATTGCGAAATGAGGTGAAAAGACAGTTTGGAAAACAATGTAACCCCGAAACAATAAGCCGGATATTACGAAAGAATAACCTACATGGTCAAACTGCTAGAAATAAACCTTCTATTAGCCAAAGAAATAAGCGTATAAGATTGGTGTTTGCTATGGGGCATATTACCAAGGATTTGAACTGTTAGAATTCAGTAATATTTGCTAATGAAGCCAAAATAAACTTGTTTGAATCCGATGGAAACATATCAGAGGGGAACAAGCCGAATGAAGAACTAATATTAAAAAATATGATAGCTACGGTAAAGCACGGTGGAGGTGGAGTGATGATTTGGGGGTGTAAGTCATCTGCAGGAGTTGGTAACATACATTTTATTGAAGGGAATATGATCCAATATATGTACTTAGACATCGATATTCGATGTACTGGGATCATCGAGCAAAAAGACAAAAGAGGGAATCTAATCAATATGAAAAGGAGACGAAAATTCGTAAAAGTGGCCTCTTAATATGGCGGACATATCCGGAAATGCAAAAGGCGCCAAATTTAAATTTTCCGACACTTATTAACAGTAGCTATATAATATTTTTCAGAATGTGTCTTAAGACGAGAAAGTTTTAATTAAATATTAACGATAATAGTGTAAAATGTGACACAATTGTTAAA